TTTATTTTTAGTTATATATCAACTTAAATATAGTAACATGTTAAAATATTTTAACATGACTTGTGTTATTTATAAACTGTAGGGCAGCTGCCCTTATGGCACAATTGTTTTAGGATAATATTTTATTTTGATGAAAATCACATAACTTACATTTGATTTTAATAACGTAAATCTTCTCTTTTCCTGTGAAAATCGCATCGGCAAAGCATCAGCAAAGTCCCAAGATTTAAAAGTTTTTTAAGGAAATCATTTGTTCTTCAAAATATAATCCATATTCGAACTTTAAATAATTTAGAGAGAATAGAAATATAAAAGGTTTTTATATACTAGTTTGTCTTGTTTTATACAGAAAAATACATGTTCATTAATAAAAAATAGAGACTGTCATTAAACTAAAATGTGCCTTAGTATTTATTTAACAGAATCTGTAATGTGCGCGTGCATAATGAAACCTCCATTATATAAATATATTCAACGTAATATTAGTGTCATCAGCGGATGTTATAGTCTACTCGTGATTTCTTTACCTTATAATATAACTTGATCTATGAAAAAAATTTATTGAATTGCACGCAGAAGAAATTTAACAAACTGTCTTCATTCAAAAATTGCGAGTAACAGGTAATTTTATTTTTCTGTGCTGGCCCCCTCCCCCCGCATAACTTTATAGCAAAGGTATCTATATACCTTTAACTAATAAGAAAAGCAAAGAGTAATAATTAATGAAGTAATTTTTAGAAAAATACAAATAGATTGTTCATTCATTGGCACATTTTTTTTAATATCTTGAAAAAATGTCTTGATATTTTTGTTATCATGATAACAAAAATATTAAGGCGTTTTTTGATATATTAAAAAAATGTCAACCCTTAATTACAAATTTTTTGCAAATGTTTTTTAATATGAATTTAGTAAAAAACTCTTAAAAAATATATATTACGAAAAACATTTTTTAAAAGTTTTTTACTGAAAATTTTGAAAAGTTACTACTTTTTATTAAAAACATTTTCAAAAAATTTGTATGTAAGGATTGACAACAATTTTTCATGTTACTAAATATTTGAATAAAAATTTTAGCGTAAAATTAAATGTTATAAAAATGTATGATATATCGCGATGAAAAGTTACTTCAATAAATTTTAACGTAACTTCTTTTTTCTAATAAATATTTTTACATATCGTTATTCAAAAGTTAATGTGGTTTTTTTAAAAATTAATTACTTCTTTTATGTTACCGCTAATTTAAAAGTTAAAAAATGATAAAAAGTAGCTTAACCAAAACGATTTTTACGTACGCATAGTACATAAAAATCGCTTAAGGCGTACGTAAATCGCTCTAGGCATAACGCTTTAAAACAAGGCCTGGTATCCAATTTCAGCATCCACCTACAGCCATCTGTAGTTTTAATTGCAATATGTTCACTATCTAATCCGAATTCTTTCAACTTTTCCATTATAGAAAATGTTAAAATGTTTCAACAGAACATGGAGATAGCAATTATACCTTTCTTAAGCAATACGTAAAGTTGTGGTGAACATTTAAATTATTTTATCTTCTACCTCTATTGCTACACCATTCCTCACCTGTTAATCCTTAGATATTTATTTAATTCATTTAAATTTAATAACTTAGCTTTGAATTAACTAATGTTTAATTACACTTACCTTTAAGATAAATTAACTTAATATTTTTATTTTTGTTTGTTACATACATTGACTGACAAACAGCCTGACTCTCAGCGAAGGGCTGCTACATTGACTGAGGGTTTGGGATGAGGCAGCAATTTTTTCTTTTATTATTCTTCTTTGTTTTTTTCTTCTTTTTCTGAAAACATTGTATGTTATAATAATAATAAGCAAATGCTCACCTAAACACGCTATAGATGATATATATATATATATCACAAATACACACAACACACATACATATATATATATATATATATATATATATATATATATATATATATATATATATATATATATATATATATATATATATATATGTATGTGTGTTGTGTGTATTTGTAAATGTTTATGTATATGCATGGGTGTACTCTGATGGTCGTCGGGTGGCACGGGATGACTCATTTTCACCAAGGGTGACTGAAATAAAAAAAAATGCCTGTCAGTAGCCCAGTAGGAAAACTAGACATTAGTTACTAATAAAAATGTGTTTATTAATAAAACTATATTTTGATCTATATAGATTTTATTCCTTGTAATTATTTAAATAAAAATTTTAAAAAGCATTTAAAGTAGTATGCACTTCGTTTAATATACACTACGGTGCGTTATATAATTTTACTTTATAAAAATAAGCCAACATGCAATTTAAAATTTTGAAGTGCAACTGTACTGTTTTTTTAAATATTTTGTTGCATTTAGATGCATGCTTTTTCTCTATAAAATGAGTTTTAAAATTACATTTTCTTTCATTTCCAAATGCTATTGCATCATTTTTTAAACTTTATAGTCACAATTTGTTTCATGTGAATGGGAATTAAATTCACAGTTGTTTCTCTTTTGCAGTCGAATCTCTTTTGTTTTTCATTAGTAAAATATATATATTTTTTTTAACTTAATCAAACAAAATTAACAAAATAAAAAAACATCAAGATGCATGTGAAAAATCATTATAAGAGCGCAATTAATGATGCAAGGGAAAATTCTTTTTTTTTAAAAAAAAAAAAAAGTCTTAGTATAATGTAAAATGTTAAAAAATTAAAAACATGTTTTAAACATTCAACTCAATTAAATTTGATTGAAGATTGAGAGAGAATAATAGAATATTTTTCTAAATATAAAACGTTTCTTTGCAGTTTTGGCTTTCAACATTTTTGCTTCATGTAATAAAACCTTAGTTAAAATTGACAAAAACAAACGATGCGATACAGATATCGACTGCGATAAAAATGATATTAAATTAATTTACTTTTAAATAAACTGTTTCTTATTAGACGTATTTGAGTAGTCAGACCTTTAAATTTTTTTGTCTTCATTATTTTCACCCAAGAAAAAATACAAACTTTTACACCGGACTACTGATTATCATAGCGGGTGACTCAAATGAGAATTAAAAACTGTTTCAGTCGCCCTGTGGGCAACTGGAAAATAACTGGGGGGTACACTGCTGATATGTGTGTGTGTGTGTGTGTGCGTGTGTGTGTGTGTGTGTGTGTATAAACTTAATAAACTTGCGCTATTAATGTTTTCGAATAGTATAAGATGATACTAACTAATTTCATTTTTAAATAAAAAGTTTTTTTGAACTGTAAAAATAATATTACAGCTTTATTTTGTATTAACTACTTTAATAGGTTTTTTATTTTACAGCTAATACTATGGTGTATAATTTGTTGAAATTATGCAACAGTTTGATTTAACGAACTGAATGAGGGCCCTATGATATCTATGACAAACACACTATATATGACTGAATGATGCCCCTATGACATCTATGACACACTAAGTTATATACACTACATTTATACTGTTTATATATTACAAAATCTTATACAGTAATTTAAAAACACTTTAATAAACAATGCAAGTGTGTTAAAAACAACAGCATACAGCATAGGAAATAGTACAGATTCAGATAAACACACTTATGTTCTATTCATCTGTCATCACAGTATGGTATTATCACTATTGTATGCTGTTTTAGCACACTTGTATAAAATGCGTGTATAAAAATATTTTAATGATGCAATGGTTGATGAAATTGTGCAATGTATTTGATCTATTATGCTATGATCTATTATCTATTATGTAATCATCATCACAGATTATAAGAGTAAAAAGTTTTTTAAATTTTAATTTTCAGGAGTATGCAAAGATCTTGACACACCAAGCAGTTGCATATATCAATGTTGACACAGCTGTGCAAGGTAATGTTTTAAAAATGATACATAACATAGTTGAAAATAAATTGATGAGGCATAAATATATTCATGACATTAAACTGATTCTTTTTTTTTTTTTTCTTTTTTTTTTTCACATCTTCACTTTCAACAAGGCTGCAATCAACTACTATTAGAGGTAGAAGTTACTGGAAGAGAAAAGATGAAGTTTATAGAGCAAGATAACGATTAAAAGACAACTTAAAAGATTGCAAATTATATGAATTAGGAAAATAAGATGAAAGAAGCGAATTCCAATAAACTGATATGGCAAACAAATATGGCAAAAGTATTTCCATACAAGAACATTTTTGATATTTATAGAGATAAAGAATAGAATCCGGAGCAAGGAAGTAGTGAGCAGGATAAATGATGCATCCTTAGCAGATGCTAATTTTGCAATGGATTTGATATATGGTTCCCAAGAATGATGGAAAGTAAGAGTTTATAGAAGATGAAGGGTAGATGACTCATCAAGTACATTAGGGTTTATAAATATAGGAAGGTCTAGATTATTGTGATAATGATTAGCTGAGAAATATTGAGTTTTATCTGAGTTAAAGTTCACCAGCTACTGAGAGCCCCATGCTGTAGCAGAAGTGAGATACTTTTCAAGCTTAATAGCCCCTTCCAAGCAATAAAAGAGTGTTAGCTTCTTATCAAGACAAGAATAAATGGTAGTATCATCATCGAACAATGCCACCTTAGATGTTAGAATTTCTGGGAGATCATTAATGTAAATTAAAAAAAGTGGGCCAAGAATAGAACCTTAAGGAAGCACTGAAGTTACAGGATATGAAGAAAAGTGCTGTTCATCAAAAACAACTTTCATACTACGATTGATAAGGAAGAATTCAATAATGTTAAAAGCGTTACCTAATACACTGATACTTTACTAACTCAGATGGAGCTCTTTACCTGTGGTAATACCACAGGTAAAGAGCTCATTATGAGTTAGGTTTAAGAGCTTATTGTGAGTTAGGTTTAAAAATTGGGGGAGCTTAGTAGTCTTCCATGATAATTTTCTTTGTGATGACAATAAGAAAAGACTCCAGGAAGTCCTGATCAGCAAAACAGGTTAAATCAGGTTAACACCATTAAGGACATCCATATATTAAAAGTTGCTTTACAACGTCCTTTTAATAATTTAATAAAAAAAATAACATTATTAAAACCTATCAGTTTTTTTGCTTTTATGTTAAACTCTCATCAGCTTTTATGTTAATCTCTCATCACGAACTTTAAACAAAAGCAACAAAAAAAATTTGAAATTTTATTTTTTATAATTTAAGGGAATCACACAATTGAGTTAAAATCCACTCCTGAGCTAGTTGATGTTTTCTTTGATGCAGCTAAAAAGGTAAATAATCTTTTTGAACTATTTATTTTTTTAAACTATCACCAGCCCTCAGAATTAGGGTTGGCAGTCGGCAATGCCAGCCTAACTGCCGACCTAGAAATGTTTGAGGTCGGCAAAAAATTGCAGACCTTTTTTCTATGGTTTATTGTAAAATCTTTGTATCAGATTTTTTTTGCTGCCATGATGCCGAACTTTAAAAGATTAGGTTTGCCGATCTCGTTTTTCTTAATTCCAAGGGCTGCATCAGCTTGAATTGTTCTCAAAAAAATTTATAGTTTTTTGAAAATTAGTTTAAAGATCCTGATAGTGCTGAAAATCTATACACTACCTGGGTTAGAAAACACAAAGAAGATAAAGAAGACAAGCGAAGAGAACCAAGGTTTTTATTACTTTTATATTGTTTAAATAACAATTTATTTTTAAGTTGCATTATAATCTGGATATTATTTTTTTTTAAAGAGTGAAAATGTTCCGAGAAGGTAGTGATTATATGCCATTCTACGGTGATCTGGGTATACCTTCTATGGATTTTAGGTACATGTTTAACACTGTAAGTAAGAGGTTTCATACATACTGTTATTTGCACTTGTTTGAGTTTCATGTATTTTATCTAAGAAGCTAAGTTCAAGATTCATTCAGAAAACTTTAATAGTTTCATTAACATTAGCTTATTATTCATATTTCATATATCAGTCTGACATCGCTGTAAGTAATGGTCAATCAAAAATCAATGATTGCCTACTTTTTAAAAAAATTATGTTTTAATCTCCCAATATTATTTCTGGCCAATTAAATTTGATCAGCTGAAATCGTTAGGAAAACTTAATAAAAATATTCAAATACTTTTTTAAAAAGTTTAAATATTGTCAAAAACAGAGATATAAAAATATGAAGTTATCAATTAAATATTTTTGATTATTAAAATAAAGTTTTGAGACCATAACAATCTTTAGTTTATAGTATAAAAAAAACAAAACAAGAATTAAAAGAAAAATGTTTTTTCAATTCATGTTTAGAGTCTAATAAACTCTTCCTGATGATTTAGATAAATAAGTAAATCTGTTATTTCTAATCACTCTGGCTTTAGTTGCTAGACTTATTTATTACTTTTTTTTTAATTCTTACTAATTCTTTTAAAGCTTGTGGTCCCAACAACATTCCTGTCACAGTCCTGCAAGACTATTTATTGTCTGCTGTAAAATGGCTACTGTTGTTTCCATTTTTTTAAGATGTTAGATAGATGCAGTGATGCAAGAGTCATTGCACTTGACATCAAAAGCTTTTAAAGGTCAGGCAAACTTATACATAAAGTCTCTTGGTTCCATATTGTGTCTCATATGCATTAGTAACATTCCAGACAATATTTTATTAAAATGGTTCTATTTCTGATGATAAAACTAGAGCGCTCGCTTCATAAGGTTCTGAGTTTGAATCCTACCACGTCCCTGATAGTACCGCGCTCAACTCGTTTCTCCGCGCAGTGGCCTTGTTCGTCAAGGTTCATGTTTCAGAGTTATAGAGTTGAGAGAGGGTTATAACCACAAATAAGTAGACTCCTCGTCTGTAGTGGCATCCTCGGCCTTGAGGAGGTGAATTATTAAAACAAAAAAACATATCTTCTTTGTGTTAAAGTTTGCAGAAGTTGGTGAATTTTAATCCAAAAGTAGCTGTTATTTTCTCCTTACATTATTACAAAAATCTAGATATTCTTATATTAATGAATGGCAACCTTCTCACTGAGTACTCTCTTTTACGTCTTCTTGGATTATCGTTTACTACTGACCTTTCATGAAAGCCATATGTACAATTGATTGCTAAATTAGCAGCTGCTAAGGTTGTTTCTCTTTATTGTGCTCGCCTATTTCTTTCTCCTGATTCCATTCTCTACCTCTACAAATCTCTTATTTCTCCCTGTATGGAATACTGTTGTCATTTTTGGGCTTGTTTTTCTAATGATGCTCTTTCTGTAAACATAGTTTGCTCTGTCTGCTAAGCTTTCCCAATGTCATAAAATTTAATCTCTTTCTCTTTTCTAAAAATACTCATCTCTAGTTCCATTCAGGAAAGTCTCATTCTTATACTGCATCTGTCCCTGCATGTTCTAAAAACTTTTATTTGTCTAGTTTTTTCCCCACACTTCAACTCTTTCCAACTCTTTCCCATCTTCATTTTTTCTTGATTCATACAACCTTCAACTTTTTAAGTCTTCTGTCAACTGTTTTCTTGCTCTATAACTCTATTCTTTTTTCTAGTAACTCCTAACTCAATAGTGGTTGTTGGGAGTGAATCAGAATTTAAAAAAAAAAAAATAAATAATTGTTTTTTGCTTTATGCATTATTAGACTATTTTTTGCTAGTGACCTCTCCAAGGCTGTTTCAGAGTGAGCTTTACGGCTTCTTGTTTTTTTTGGAAAATATTTACTTAGGAGGTGTTACTAAAACATTTATAACTTTTGAAATATTTGAAATATTTGATATTTTGTTTTGTAAAAAAAATAAAAACTACAATAAAATGTTTTATCATCCGATATTTAATACAATAGTAAAAAAACTTCTAGTTTATAAAAAACGCGACAAATGATGAACTTGGCTAAATTTTTATTAATTTCTTGTTACTTTTTATCAAAAAAAAAAAAAATCAGTAAAATATATTTTTGATAGTTATTATCAATTACCCTTGTTGTTTGACTATTATTAAAATAAAAAACCTTACTTAATTGCTTAAGGTTAACAAAAACAGTCTATATTGAAGTTTGCAAGCAAACCACATTTTTTGCAAAATTATGAAAAATGTTGTTTAAAGAGGGATTATCTGTTAAATGAGTACGTTTTAAATATGAAAAAAGTTCACTAAGTTGATAAATTCAATGCATTACAAAATAAAGTCAGATGTCGATTTTGAAATATTTAGTCTTAAAATTCTAAGCTAAGGCTTTAAAGAACTTTAGCATTTTCTTTCTTTCTATGCATAGAGTTTTAATAATATAATGTTAAGTTGTTAAAAAATTAAGACTCATTAATCCTAATAAAAAAATTCATGACCACAACTGTGTTAAAGTTTTTGAATTAACCTCGCTTTTGGTAATAGAATTATTTTAAGGCACTTGAGTGTATCTCTTCTCACAAAAAATAAAACATTTGTTTAAATTTACAAATAGCTAATTTTATTTGTTTGATGTGTTTTTATTCTCATAAAGAACTGTTTTATAATAAGTTGATCTACTGATTCTGTTCTTTAAGTAGAAAACGATCTTTGAACACCCAGTTGATATTAGATTCATGCTCCATTCTAAACCAGAAGATTAGTTTTTAGAAGATAGCTTTTGTTCAACAAGATTAGAAGATGGCTTTCAACAGACTCACAATAGTGACAATAACTTTTACAAATTCTTTATTTAAACTGTATCTTTACAATAACTTGTTATTTATGAGACTTAAGTTCTATTTTTAACCAGAGAGAAGGTATGTTGAGGAGAGGTACTGCAGAGGTAGAACTAACTTCTGATGATAATAATTGAATGGGCATCTAATATTTAAATTAAATGTTACATATAATAAAAGACAATACATTTTTTAAATTAACTACACAAACTATTATTTTATATTATAGCCAACAAACTTACCAGTTGCTCTGCTCATAAGTTAAAGTAGTAAGCTATATTTTTATACCCATTTGATGCAAGACTTATGTACCATTCTTTAACCTGGATGGTATTGCATAAGTATAAATAACTTGTGAAGATAAGAATGAAATGGGCACCTATCTAATATATAAAATTAATAATAAAAAATAATAAATATTTTAAAAACTTTTTTTTTTAATTATTTAGACTAAATTTTATAACCACAAACAAGATAAAGGCCTTGTCTATAAATCGAATTTTCACCACACTCAGAACTCACAACACACTTTCTCACCTTAGAGGCTTTAACCTTCCTATCAGCTTTGCTGTGCAATTGCGTTTTAAAACAAGACGCAGCTTCTGTTCCTGATTTCTTACTGAATGCAGCTGTCTTAATTCCTTATTTACACTATTATGCAAACACTCTCCCTCCTCTTCACTCAGCAACCCAATAGTTTTATGCAATTTTACAAATAGTGGCACATTAAAAACGAGTTCATGCATTTTTCGTGTGATACTTTCTTTTGGAAAGCAAATATGAAACTCGATAGCAAATAAATTTATATATTGATGAAGCTCAGTAATTTCGGCATCAGAAAGAAATTTTCGCTTAAAAAGAATAGGTTGCAACTTATTAAAAACACTAAACACACGTACAAATCTATTTTTAATAGCTTCATCATCAATAACACTACAAAGTTTATAGTGGTTTCTTAAGACTATTTTGCAATGATTACCTACAAACACATTACCATGATACACTTGTCGCTCAACCTTCATATCTTCAAAGGCCTTATTAAGAGACCTCTCATGAGTTCCTATGCTACTTTTGGATATTTTCTGAATCACCAATAATTTCACAAAATTGATGAAACCATTTTTGGCACATAACACACTGCACCCAATCAACGTTACAATCATGTTTAGTAATTAAACACCTGATACTAGCACATATTTCTTGCTGTTTACAGGATTTTTTTATTGGATTAGTTTAGGGATATTTTTTCTAATTCGGAAAAATTGTTATTAAAAGCCAACCATTGCTCCTTTAGATTTGCAATGTCTACAAATTGATTTCCTAATAAACGCCAAGTCTCTGCTGTTTTAGAACATTCAACGCTTTTAGCAGCCCACAATTCATTCGTTCTCACATTCTCATTATGCGAAAAAGACGAATCAGCTTTTCAATCTAAAGTCTTACACTCCTTCAACAATAACTTATACAGTTTTAACACAACTCCTAACATAATATGTAAATCAGGTGGCACTACATTATTTAAAGTTATTATGGGGAATATCACAGGAGCAATAATTGATTTATGAAACTTATCTAGAGCTCTTAAGTTTCCATCTTGCCTATTTTCACACAAGTTCTCATTGTAAGCACTTTCCAGAGATTGTATTGTCCTCCTTAAGATGTTACAATTAGCAGGTGTGTGGGGCATAGAAGCATGGTTTCTAAGAGATTTCAATTCAACTAGATCTGTAGAACTAGGAAAGCTAGCAGCTGAACCCGGGTGTCCCAGAACATTAACGATGAAATGAAAATCTCCACCTAAGAACAACCTGACTATTTTGCCTTTTAACTTAAAATCTGGCGACTGAATTCTTTTAATGTCTTTGGCATAATGCCTGAGAATTAAGGCAATATTCTCACGACAATCTGAACCCTGATACATACAAAACAAATGAACATCATATACAGACCCTGACGATTTCGAATTGACAACTTCAAAATGGAATTTCATATACTTTCCACCCTTATCCCAGCAAAAAAGAACCATACCTCTTTGCCAAAACCAACATCCAAACTAAGGTGGTCGGGTACGTGAAGACTATTAAAAACCTTTTCAATATAAGTTGTCAAATTCTTGACCATCAGTACAGATACTAAACAAGGTGCTTCATTCGCAGATGGATAAAGTAACATGGACTTCACAGTGACATGTTCTTTATTGACATGCATTGTTCGCGTTTCTTGTTCTTGTCTAATCTTGGGCTCAGAAGCTAGAATCCTTGCACCAAGATTACACAAAATACGTCTTAGCCTACGGAATTCAGCCATAGGCATCCTTAATTTGCTCTACAGTATCAGAAACACTTAATTGCCTAACTAAACCTAACTTATTTGCAACATAACAATATATTGACTTTTCACAAGACATAGAATCACAAAACAACATAGACAAATCAATTTCAAAATCTGAACAAACTAATAATCGAAGGAATATAAAAGCAAGTCTAGATCGTCTAGCTGCAGCATGCCTACCTATCTTAGAATAAGGTTTACCATGTCCTAACTTAATGTAAGTGTTTTTTTTACCAACTATTGGCCTTTTAATTGATATAGTCTGTGGATTACTTAATTTAAATCTACAGAGCAATTCAAAGGAACCAATGTTGTCATAGTCTAAATAAGAATCAACAACGACTAAATCCTTATCACCGCTTACAAGACATATGCAAATTTGGCAACCATTCTGGTTTATATCACTAATTTTTGCATTATTTTTTTTAAATTTAAATTTTTTAAGTAAACTTACATTTTTGGCACGAGCAGATGCAATTTTGCGCTGTGCTGTTTTGATTTTTTTTTTAAATAAGTTGGAACTGCTCCTACTGTTTTAGCCTAATACTCATAGTCTCTACTTGAGAACATAATGAGTTACAAAGTGTGCTAAGAGCCTTATTTTTAGAATTTAAATTACAAATTTCAGTATCCAACTTTAATAACTACGATTTTAATTTCTCTATTTGCTCTACATTTTACATTTATTTTCAGAAGTTAATTGGTTAACTTGACTACTTAGTTCCTTATTCCTATTTAAAAATAAAAATTCATCTGCATCTGCTGATTTTTTTTTTTTTTTTTTTTTTTTGTAGAGCCAGAGACAGTTGCATTATAAAAAAGGGTTCATTTTTTGAAGCTTTAAAATTTTTTTAAAAAGTTTACTTTTGCGTATTAAATTTTGGCACATATTATTGAACTCATCAAAACTAGGCAAATTAAAATCAATTGGCAATATAAAGCTCATTAAACTATACAATGCTTTTGACTTAAAAACTGACATTAAAACTGAAATTACATTGTTAGTCGTTTTATCAATGCTAATTAATCGCTTAACAAATGGAAAGTTACACTCATTTTCCCAACTATCATCCCATTCAATCCATAGTTTTAAAATTTCCCTTTCAGTAGAATACATAATCATAAAAACACAAACAATGCAAATAAAATTATATTTGTTGACAAGTAGATGAACAAGATATAATAGGATTAGAAAACTTATCTTATGTTAGTTGATCACCCACAAGAAAAAAAACCGGCCTAACTTTGTTTATTTTATACTTTAAAATTTGTCTCGCTAAGAAAGTTGTTTTCATAAAATTCATTAAATATTTGTTCGGGCGTCAGTACTTAAGGTCACGTGATTTTTTTATGCATAAAACTAGAAAAATTTGTTTCTAAACTAGCCAAGTTCGAAAACATATTTCATAACATAGCTAGAGGTACAGAAAACGATTTTTTGATTTTTATATGCAGAAAGGGTTGAAATTTCAATAATTTGGTGTGGATTACAAAAATAATACAATTTTCATAATCTAATAATAAAATTAAAAATATATATACATTAAAAAATAATAATAAAAAAAATAATTAGCAATCCGCACCAAAAATTAGATAGAATAGACATTTATCTATAAATGTTCCAAATTTCAACCATGAGGCATGAAGCTATGTTATGAAATCTTAGTTGACCCAAGACAGTTTTTCCGTAAAAATCACAAAAAACAGAAAAGTGATCCCAAATCGTTAGCAATATTTAACCAATAAATATTTTTATTTTGTTTAATGTAAATATTTATTTAAAAAAAAAGATAGGTTTTTTATATTTTTTTTATTTGAAGATGAAAGCGCTTATAGGAAAAAAAACACTATTTTTTAAAGTTATTGTATTTTTAAACTTTTTTTGCGGAAATACTTTTTTTTTTTGATAAACACAAAAAAAACTGTGACGTCAAGCTCGCTTTTATATTGAGTGAAACAGTTGTGTCTCATGAAAATTATATACTCATAAAACCATTTCATATATTGCATCTGCTCTCTATTTTCTTGATCATAATTACTTCTTTTTCTTCACTAATTTTCTGATATCTCTAATTAATCTTCTTATTTATATAATCTATGATCTTCTGATATCTAATTTCTGATTAATCTTCTTATATCTATGATCTTCTGATATCTAATCTCTGATCAGTACTGTATATTTGGGTATATTGTTGTCATTTTTCCTTTTAATCAAGGTGCTTTAAAATACAGCTAATATAACTTTGTTGTTCAATTATCTTTTTTTTCTTTCTTCAAATGCTAGTTGCTGCTCAAATGAGCTCTTGTTTTATCATCCAAAGTTTAATCTTGTGTGAGTTGTCATTTAGCTAGGTGGCCTCTTTTTATTTCTTTTTTCCTTGAATGATTTTTTTAAAAAATGTCTTTATTACTTTCAATTTTATTTTTTATTCATGTACTTTTAATTTTCTTTTCATTCATATACTTTCTATTTTATTTTCATTCGTGTACTTTCAGTTTTATTTTCATTTATGTATTTTCAGTTTTATTTCGAATGTTTTGAGATAAAGGTTGTTTTACATAAATTGTTTCAAGGTTTTGTAAGTTAAAAAATTGGATTTTTTTTTTCAAAGAAAGAAGCAGGTGTGTTTCATTATCCAGTCTATCACACATTACATGATAATATTGCATGGATGAAAAAATTCGTTGATCCAGACTTTCGTTATCACACTACTTTGGCCAAAGTATGGACGCAAGTTATACTTTCACTTGCTGATACAACCCTGCTTCCGTTCAATTTTATTCGTTACAGTAACAGTTTGAAATATAGAGTGCATCAAATGGCTGATGTTGTAAAAGAAGAAGGGCTTGATGATATTGTAGATTTTAGTAAGTTTTTATTATTTATTATATATTCACGACGTGTAACATTTACAAGAAATTATTTGGTGTGAGATGTGAGTTGTAAAGTTTAAAAGTGGTGTTATTTTTTGAGATTTATAAAAAAACAGAGGTGTTGTACATTTTATTTGAGATCTTTTTTTTATTTTAAATAAAGATAAATAATTAGTAAATTTTTTCAATTTTTTATCTTTTTTTAAGTTTTTAAAAAATGGAATAATAATTTTTTTTTTCTTATTGTTTGTGTGAAAGTAAAATTTTTTAAATAAAAAGTTTTTATTAGTCTTACTAAGCTAATATAATTCAATAGATAGGTAAAAATATTTTACTTATAATTACTTAGATGATTACTTAGAAGATGTCTGTTTTGTTAATTTAAAATTGAAAGTTAAAATGTTTTTTAGCTTTATTGAAGAGTGTTGTAGAAGAGTTAAGCAACGTCACGCAAATCTTTCATGACAACCTTAAAGATCTTGATAAATCAGAGTAAGCGAGACAATGATGCTAAGTTGTTTTAGTTTTTTATTGTTATTACAGTTTTTGAGTTTAAAATGATTGTTTAAAAAAAAAAATGTTTTTTTTTTAATCAAGTATATTTTTCTGACGCCATGTTTGAATGTGACTAAATAAAGATATTTTGAATTTTTACAGTGCGCTTGCTGTTCGTTGCGCTAACGATCAAATGATGATGTTTGAAAGAACTTTTGTGACCTCTGAAGATATTCCAGGAGAAAAGTCAACTAGGTAAAAATTTATCAGTTTTTTATTATAAATTTTTTTCAAATTATTTAATTTAAAACCATTTCACTTTTCTTTTTTTTTAAATTTATGTAAATACCTAATTTATAATTTTTTCTTATGTTAAACTTATTTTGAAGCTAAATAAACTTTCCTTTAGACATATTTATCACACTGCCGGTCTCGTGAAAGCATTACGCGCTCTTCTGAAAAATCGACGTTCCGCGTACCTTCTTAGGGAGTTTAAAGTTAAATATTCTATTTATACTTATCATGTAATGATGGCCGTACACGCCCTTAAAAATCCTTTTACTAGTTTTGATGACTTTAATTAACGCCTGGGTGTCTAAATTTGTAAAAAGTTATTTATTTTAGGAACAACAATAATTTATTTTTAAACAATTAGGAACTATATTTTTTTAAATGCTTACTTTAAAAAAGATATTTATAAATATATTTAATGTTTATATTTTTAATTAAATAAAATGAAAGACTCGAGTATGTTAAACTTGTTTTGTTTCTTCTTATTAAATTGCGCGTTGAAACTCTGAAAATGTTGACGTTTTGGCTTATTTGCTTTTAGTTCAAAAACCCGTGGCTGCCAGACTTACGTTAATTTATAAAAGCTAAAAAAATTTCAGCGCATGCTTCCAACACTAGTAGAAACAATGGTCGACATTAAGTCTTGGTGACAATTACTAAACCCAGACACTTAATATGGTGGCAAACCCTTGCCAGACACCTTTAAACTTCAAAAAATTGTAATTATACTTACGTTATAGTATAAAAGTGAAATTTTATTTTTGCTACTTGGGTAACTATTAGATGTTTCTTTTTGCCAGACACTTTTTACATTTCTAATTTTTAGCCAGATAAACATAGGGTATTATGAGTACCTTGAGCGAAAAGTGGAGTATTTTTAAGAATAATTATGCTGGATCCAAATATTTTTGGGATCATTATTCATGATCCACTTAAATATTTGGGCAACCGAAACTTTTCCTTACTAAACACAGAGGTTTTAAAAAAGTAGCGAAAGTGCTCATACTACCCAGATCACATGGTCACACTTTAAATAAGCCCAAAAAATATATATTTAAATAAAAAATACAAACCTGACAATTAGAATTAATTTGTGAAATATTTTGATTCGTTATTAACAAAACTTATCATTAAGAGATAAAATTTTAAGTCACTTATAATTAAAACAATTCAACTTTGTTTTACGCAACAGCAAAAAAAAGTAATTTGTTATTTTTTTGATTTTATAAAACCACATCAACTTTAGGATTTTAAATTAGGTAATTTAAATCAAAAACACTTGTCAAGAGTCAAAAATAAATGTTTCTGTGCTTTTTTTCCCAAACAAAAATGAAACGGATTTCTAGCTAACATATTTTTCTTTATGAACATATTTATTTTTATGTTAGAATAAAAATTAACATTTTTATTTCAATGTGAAAATAAATTATTTTTTTTCTTTATGAAATTTTTTATTTTGATGTTGAAATAAAAATTAACATATTTTTATTTCAACATCAAAATTTCGTTCCATAGATTCTTTTAGGGATCGTCCACCTTTTGGTATGCTCATATTACCTAGGTGCTCATATTACCCGAATCTACTAAGTAAGTACTAGTCAGCTAAGTTACCTAAGGTTCTTACCTTAGGTAACTTAGCTGACAATAATTGCCTTTTGATTGCAAAAAAAAAGGACTGGTTTCTATTAGCATATTGCATCAGTTAGTTAACAGTTAAATAAAAATTAAAAGAAAAAAAACAATCTAAAAAGGGTTTTTTAATAGCTATAATAGTTTTTCAAAATAATTAAAAAAAAAAACAATGAAATAAATGTGATAAACTGTGAAGAAAATTGTTAATAATTTTTAGAGAATAAGAAAATTTGACAAAAAATTTATCAAATCGACTGTTATTAGGTAGATTGACTGTCTGTCATACAAAAACGATACTCGAAATTAATTTTAAACAACGAGAAATATTTTTCCGTGCGTTTTTACATAAAAAAAAGTTGATATAAACAATGCAAAGTGGAAATAAGTGATAAATAAATTAGTTTAATTAGATATCTAATAACAATTTAGAAATTTTAAAAAACTTGTTTTTAAAACTAGAACAAAATATTTAAAAAATACAGATTTTTCTCTAGAAATACCTTTGTAAATAATTTATCAAATTCAAAATTTCATCCTATGGCTTCATTGGAGTTAGATTAGCTCACTTTAAACGAGGTAAAACGTAACCTACCGTACTACTACCAAGTACAAGACCTCTATGTTTTTTCTTTTAATGGACAATTTTGTAAGCGCATTATTTTTGATAAAGTTTTTGAGGAAAAAGTTTACTAATTACTGGTGAAGCAAGGTTGTTTCTGAATTGTTCAACAAAAACCTTTTTAAGAAGTTAAGCTGCATTGTTACTGATAGCACCATTATTCAAATTCAAATGCTTCAGCAAATTGTTCTGTAAATGATGGGTTAGAAACTTCCACAATTTTACACAATATCACAGATTCACAATACTTTGAATACCAAATATTTTAGCAATTGAACTTGTTTTAACGTAACTTTTTATTCTTCCAATAACTTGAAAAAATGTTTTTAATCTTCCAATAACTTGCTCAACAAGAACTCTAATTTTAGTAATTTAATTTGTTTTCTTAACTTCAAAAGGCGTCATTTGTGACGTTCCTCACTGACCAGGTGGTACAGTATAAAATAAATTTCAAAGAGTGCATTCAAAATGCAAATTAAACCCTTTGTCTGGCATAAGATAACCCATAAAACTATACATAGATAGTGCTTTGTCTTAAACAATAAAAGAATTAAGAGCTATTCAAAAATTATAGTACTGTGGTGTTAATTCTCAGACCAAGATACACTTTACAATTCCAAATTTCTTGGGGTTTGTATGAAAATTTCTGAACTGTCAATAATAGCTGCCAAATTTTTATATTTTTCAAATCGTTAAGGGTTGCATTTAATGTGCCAAGTTCTGTTTCAAATTTTAGAAGCTTACAAACTTCTGCTAATGTTCTTATCCACGTATGAAAAATTTTCAACATGTGTTAATAGAAATATTAAAACGACTTGCAAGATCTTTGTTAAATAATCCTAATCGATTTGTTAAAGTCAGCAGAAAATCGTTTTATTAAAGTCAGCAGAAATTTCATCTTGTGAACATAATTTTCTTGCATGTTCCACTTTTTTTAGTATTCCCATGACAGTTCTTTTAACAGAAACAGAATTAAATCGTTTTTTAACATAAGGGAAAATAAAGTCATGCAAATTGTTAAATAACTCTACAGATCCATGATTTGTATAGAATTTTATGTTTTTGTTTAAAAAGAGTTTCTTATATACAGATATAGGCTTAGTTGGTTGTATTATAATTTTGTTTTGTAGTTTAATATTTTCAACTTTTAAATTCTTTATTTCTAAATAATAGTTGACAATTAAAGCATAAGGTGTAAAAATTAAAAAGAGCATCTAAGTCAAAAGAATTTAACGGAATACTATTTTCTAAAATAAACCTAAAATAAAGCATCTAAAATAAACGGACTTTTTGATGCTAAAGTAGCAGGATCGGGTGTCAATATTTCAGTAAAAAAATTAGGAAAAAGTTTTTTTAGTCATTTTTAGGCTCTGGCCCATAAAAAAGCCTCCAAAAACAAAAATAGCCTCGGGCCCCAAGAAGTCTTAATCCGCCACTGAGAGGCGGATATAGTGGCTGTTTTTGTAGAAAACTAATCAGAAATTATGTTGCAATTTCGTTTATTCATTGTTTGATTACAATAAGATGAAGCAGAAGGAATAAATTGTCTTATTTTATTTAACGTATTGTTTCCCAATATTCTGTAGAATATTTAAACTTTTCATTTATAAAACTTCATGAACAAATTTTACTGTACTTAGTAGCTTCAAATTGAAATTTGTCTGAATTTACCCGATTAATCAATTTTTTCCGAATGGATTGACACCCTGGGTCTTTTATTTCAGTAGGAAAAACGAAGTTTAAATGATTCAGAACAACAGCAATCTTCTCTTGGACATTTTTGAATTTCACAAATAGTTTTTTTCCACTTTTTAGGTTTTTTTGAGTGGTTGGAACAACCAATGACAACAGAAGAAAATGATGTCACCATATTAAACAAAGATTTTAACTAAAATAGACACTGTTTCAGTTGCCTACCCTTATCACTTTATGATTGATTTCGATAAAGAATTTCATGCTGATTAAAAATCGTTTAAAAACATTGACCTGAAAATTTGAGGAAAACACTTTAATTTGATTTTAAAGTTTAAAAAGTTATACTAAAAACGCTAATAATCGCCACTTTCTTCATAATCGAACATGATTAGATTCTTTTCCTTAGTTGACTTAAAAACAGGCCGGTTTTCATTAACATTTTAAAGAGAAACCATTTAAAGCAAAACCCGTTAGTTTCTACTTGATTCTGACCCAAACCCTAACCCTGACCCTAACCATGTAAATTTAATTGCACTAATACCTATTTTCAGTCAATTTATGTACATTTATTTGCGCCAATCTCTACTTGTCAGTTGATGTATGTACATCTACAGAGCCGTAACCACCGACAATAATTTTTTGGGGATCTAGGGGGGCCTAAGCCCCCCAAAAAATTATTAAACTATAACTATTAGGGAAAAACATATATATCTTTTAGGGCTTTTCCCCTGCTATGTTTGGGCCTCTTCCTATCTCTGGGCCCCTAAAATGAATACCTTTTAAAAAAAAACAAGATCTTTAATATGTAATATGGGCCGCTCTAATATGAAAATTGTGATTACGGCTCTGATCTAAAAAGCTGTCTCAAAAATTTTTTATAAAAAACTTGTTTTGTCCGATACTGTAACTAGTGCGGCCGTGGCGCAGTGGTTAGAGCGCTTGCTTTATAAGCAGAAGATCCAGGTTCGAAACGAGCTCTAGACCTATTTTCGCGTTACGGTAAGAAAGGAGGCGTGAACTTCCTTGTTAAAAGCATTTCACCTAAATAACAAATAAAAAAAAATAAAAATAAAATATTCTTGCAATAAGTTTTACTTTATATTGTATAAGCTCTTATAAGCTCTTTTAACAATCTTATACACTATGATAATGATCTTTACACAACGCTATTGTCTACATTGATATCATTCGCGATTGGACTGCCAATCACAATTATTATGATTGTTAAAAAAAACTTTATTACTGACTATTTTCTCACAGCTGCAGTTTCACAGCTCCGACAAAGGAGATTTTATAAAGTCACGTGATACCATGTCTTGTTTATTAAACCTCCTTCGTTCCGACCTAGTTTTAACAAAAAATAAGCCATTAAAAATACAAAAAAGAAAACATCCTATAAACAATTTTTACTATTCCT